TTTCAAGCATTTAATTATACATCCTATTATATTTAAACAATTATCTTCTATTTTTGAATTAAATTACAACCTCAAATCATGCACTTTATTTGAATTATTGGACATAAAACGTGTAAACATTGATATATAATCATTTTAGTTGCAAGTAATAAAAAATAACTAAATTACAAAATTATATATTTAAATTGAAATAAATATCAATCTCCAATCTGTTGTTGCTATTGTACCTGCAAAATAACAGTAAATAATTAACAAAGGAAATATTAGCTATTATTATTAAATTATTATACTATCACTTTAAATAACAATTATTATAAAATGTGATATCATTAAACAAAAGCAACAAATAACAAAAAATTGAAAAAAAAAAAATTACCCTAATTTGTAATATACATCACACTATCATAACATCATATTATAATCATACAATTAATTTTATATACATGTGGGTGGAGAAATCATCATTATATATATTTAATTTATTTTCTTTGTTTTAATGTCTTAAATAATTAAAAAACGTGTTAATTAATTCTTTATAATCTAATTTACTTTATTCCTAAAGCTGAAATATAATTCCTATTTGTTTTTAAATTTTTTTGCAAAAACACATAATACTCCTAAAAATTCAAAATTTACTATCAAACATCTCTGAATGTTGTATTCAAAATCTGCTATCAAACACATAATCTCGGTGTCTTATGCTATGACGATCAACAAGAGTCAAGACCAGTCTCTCTCACACGTCGGTTTAGTCTTGAAGAGACCAGTTTTCAGTCATGGACAGTTGTACGTGGCTCTTTCTAAAGTCACAAATCGGAAGGGTTTGAAGATAATGATATGTGGTGATGATATGTGGTGATGGTGATTCCGACGATAGAAAAACCTTGAATGTTTTATACAAAAAAGTATTTAATAATATTTAGAATCATTTTTTTAATTCATATTTTTTTTAATTAAATCATGATTTTATATGTTTTTTATATGTGTAACTCTTCTAATTAATCTTCTCCGTGCAAATGCACAAGTTAATTACTAATTTTTATATAAAATTGTCTTCTTAAAAGCTCTTACTCCCAATCTATATATATATAAAAGCAAAGCAGCTGGAAAAAGTTTTGTTTTCCCTCCCATTTTGTATTAAATGTTATTCATTAATGGTTTGATCAATTCAATAAATATTGTCCAAAAATTTAAAGCTCTATTGGAATTATTTATACTAGAATAATATTATTGGGAATGTTGAACAAGTTGACAATTGTTTAGAATGTTGTGCTAATTCTACACATCTCAATACAATTAATAATGAAATCAAACAAAAAGTAATACTATGATTAATGTTAAATTATCTATTAATTGTCCTCAATTGATTAATACATTAAATTTTCAAAACCATCCATTTGAGTTTTTCAATTATAAAATCATAATATCTTTCATTGTAGAACCACAATATAAGAACCTAATGTAGTCTTAATTTTATTTATACATCTTTCACATTCGTGGGTCATTTTGAAATTGTAAATTCTTAACTACATAATATAAAACCTATCATAGTTAATTATATAAAGCGGCAAAATAAAAGTTAATAGAACTTAGAAGGTTAAAATTTGTCATTTTTATATGATGTCTTTATGTTTAATTCATTGAGTAATTTTTTTGCTGAAAAACATTATAATAACTAAACATAAAATTATAAATATTGACTTTTATTATCAAAATTAACGGTATAAACATATCTATACAATTGGAATATCAATAAAAAATATTTTTCTTTCAAAACATCATTTATGTTTATGAGCACGACATGTTTGTATTAAAACATATATACATATAAACAAATTAAATACAAGAAGATATAATGAGAAAGCAATGACAAATATAATAAAAGTTAGATCTTACATATAATATAGTTTATTAAATTAGAAGAGACATATTGTTCAAAACAATGTATATTATCTAACAATAAATTTTATCAATTTTTAACTATGATATATCATTAAAACAATGAGTACAATCATTAATCAATAATTAAGTTCCTACATAATTATGCTTTGGGACTTGCACTTCGATATTCATGGCTTTCAAATAAATTTTTAAATCCTATGTGGATAATTTAAATAATAAAAATAAATATTTGTACACTTAATTCAAAATAATACATTTATCAGTATAGATTAGTTTATGTATAAATATATTATGATATTATTATAGTTTAATATGGATTACAAATAATATACTTTAATAATAAAAGAATATCAATTGTTTACCACAAAATAAAAATAACTATGTTTACTATTGATGATATTTCTCAATTATCTAAAGTTCGATATAAGAATTCATTAATTTGGTTAATAACAAATTGCAAACTTTCAAATAATATTTTATATATTGTCATTTTATTTTCTAATAAATTTCTTTGAATAATAAAAAAGTACAAAGAGGGAGAGAGAGAGAGAGAGAGATGGAAAATAAAATTATATTTGTCATAGTAATGTAATTTATTTAACTAAAAAGAATATTTTTTTAATAATAAAATAGTATCATCTACGGGTACTGGGGATGAACTTGCATATCCATATGAAACGTATCTCGAAAATAGTGAATAACCTTTACATGGACAAAAAAAATTATCTGAATTTAAGTTCCTTTTATAAATATCAACCAAGAATATGAAAAAAATGAAAGTAAAGAAAAAAAAAAAGACAACATATAATTCGAACATGACATTAAAATTTGATTGTATTTATGGGTAAAAAGTACATAGATATTTCACTTATGATATTATGAAAAATTGGAAAAAAAAATAGAAATATTAACGTACAAAAGAGAGAATTACATGATTTCAGAGAGGTTCAACTCATGTTTTTAATTGTGAGACTGGATATAAAATTCATATTGGTTTTTGTGTGATTGGAGGTGATCCAAAAATACAAAGTTTGTTTTATTTTTTTATTTTTAGTTGGTATAATTTATTTTATTTCGTCAAAATCTTAAAAATGCTATCTAAACATATGTACATGAATTTTGCCATCCTTTTATTTTCTTTAGAGGTCTAGAATTATATAACTATAATTCCTGAAAAGAAAAGTATAACAGATGAATTTATTGTTTAATTTTCTAATCGTATATATTTATATATATTGTTTTCGTAAGAGATGAGAATATATCGTCTTTATCAAAATATTGCGACAAATAAAGTTTCGCCCAATATACTACAAACGCAATAACTATTTTCTTTTTTTTATCGTATATATCACAAGGTTTAGTTTTACTTTTTATTGTTTTAGAGTTATATATTACTATTTAAATATTTTATTCTTATTATTTTACAAGAATTCTATCAACATGTATTTAATAAGTTAAATCATAATTCTCATAAATTCAATGCAAAATAAATTTCGGCTATTGATATAAGTAACGACGGTGATAATCTTCATTGTTACCTTAATATAACCTAAGATTATAAAGAACAAAATTCTTGAAAGTATATATTAAAATAATAACTTGATATATATACATATTTATATTTATATGTTATTACTTTTAAATGTACATTTACTGTCACAGTTTATATACAAAATAAAAATTAAATGATTAATGTTTGAACATGGATCAAAATTTATTTTCATTTACGGGTAAAAAATAGACTAATATTGCAGAATAATATTATGAAATATAAAAGAAAGAAAATTAAGAAATGATAGCAAAAAGAGTGAGAAAGTCTCAACCATAAAAGAGAAAAAGAGTGACAATACGGTTTTAACCATGAAGACTGAACAAGACAATACATATTTATCATCTAATTATTTAGTAGAATTTTTGTTATATATGAGGTCTTTTACACTGGTTTTTGTCCTAACTGATTGAATAATTTGAGACCAAAATACATAGTTTGTTTAATTTATTATATTTTTAATTGATATCATTTGTTTCATATGGATCTAAAATTGGGTCATCTAAAAGTTTGTGACTGAAGTGACTCCACACATTTTTATTTCTTTATTGATCCACAACTATGAAACTATATTTTTGTATGAATATAAATAAGATATTTGGTTTATTATTGTTAATTTTTTGTTATTATAACACATTTTTTTCTTAAGAGAATGACAAGAAATATTACTGCTACTAAATTGTTACAATAAAAAACTATTTTTCCTTATCTTATATAATAAATACTCACTTTATCAAAATGAATTTTACTCTTTTTATAATTTATATAATACAATTCAAATGTATTTTTTTATTAATGTACATTTTTAAAAATTATATTAAATTACATTTTGCATAAGTTACATGTAAAAAATAAGTAATTTCTTAGTGACATGAACATAAATAATTGTTGGCATGTTTGTAACTTTACAAATAGTGATTTATAGTGCATGTTATTATGATTACCACCGGTCTTATTTTGCAAACAAATGAATTATTGAATTTATTTTTTCAATTAGAAAAAGTGTGGAAAAATATAGTAATGAAAATTGAGTTACTTTTGTATTTTTTTTTTCTTTGGTACATTTTTATAATTATAAATGCCTCATATTTGCACATTTTTATTTGAATTATTCTATATCAGATTATCTATAAAATAGAAATAATGTCTATATTTATTTAAAAATAATAAAAAAATATCATTTATGGCGATGATAATGAATATAATGCGTCCACTAATAATATATATTTTAAAAAAAAATAATTCAAAATATAATAAATAATATTTTCATCTACATCATTTTTAATATCAAGTCGCGCAACGCGCGGGTGCCGTACTAGTTTCTATTAAGTACCTCACGAATAGCCTCTTATCAGTGGCCCTAATTTTGACTGTTCCCAACCAAACACTCCTTTTTCCTCACCATAGCAGCCGCCGCCGTGCTAGCCGTCAGGCTCTAGCCCTCCGCTGCCGCCGCCGATCAATCAGCTCCGTGGATATTGCTAAGTCATTACTCTGCTAAGAATCAATCATAGCAGGCTGCTGCCACTGTTTGATCTGTCGATAATCAATGGCTGAGGAAGCTGTGTTAGGATTTCTGGAAAAGAATGAGGAAATATCGGATTCTGGAAAGTTCGCGGAGGAGAAAGGCATTAGCCACGACGAGATCGTTAACATCATCAAAAGCCTCAATGGCTTTCGTCTCGTTGATGCCCAGGTCAACTTCCACATACACAGTATTGCAGATTCATCTGTTTTTCTTAAGAGAATTTTCATTAGATTTTGATGGGTAAATGTTGATTAAGAGTAGCGTATGGTTTAATTAGGGAAATGTCTCGCCCTTTTGTGGTAGATTTCATGGATTTTGTAGTCAAAGTCCGTATTTCTCTGAACATTTTGGATGTGAGTACAGTTTGTAAGATTGAGTTGGTATATAATTTGTATGAATTTGCAGAAAATTATGAAATTTTGTGACTGATGTGTATTATCTTTTGAAAATTGTGCAGGATATTAAGAGGGAAAGGTGGGTGCTCACCCAGGAAGGGGAACTATATTCTAAATATGGATCTCCTGAAGTACTTCTCTTTTCTGCTGTCCCACCGGAGGGCATCGCACGGGAAGAATTGCAGGTATTCTCGATTAATTATGAGGGCTTAAATTTGATTTCTTAATAAATGGGATGCTTTTATAAAATTCTTGTATGTTTGCAGAAATCTTTTGCATCAAGATTGCCAAATGATATTGATGTAAGTGGCTTCTTCTTTTGTGTTGGTCAATTAGCTGATTAACTTAGTTTAATACATGTTCATTTTTCCTTATTTTTATCAACCAAGGAAAGAGAAGGCTAAAGAGCATGCTAATTAACATAGTTACTCAGTATCTGTTTTATGCAATTGGAAGTCAAGTGCCTGAAGGACCAGTTGTTTGGGTTATGCTACTGAATGCCTTATTTTTATTATTGTTTGGGTGCTATGCTAGATTAATGTTTCAAGAAGGACTTCTTATTGTGCTCCAAAACTATCCAACTTAATGAAAATTAGAACTGATTATTTTTTCATGCCAAATCATATCTGGGCTTAATTATTGATATTTTGCTTCCATTATCAATTTTATGGACACAGGAAAAGTTGAAGACGTCAATTTACAAAATTGGCAGCACGCAGGCCATAAAGAATAAATGGATAGAAATGGGGAAGTCGCAAGTCTCGCGAAAGGTAAGACTGATTGAACTTAGGTTCATAGATACTTTTAATGTTGTAACTAAACTAACCTTTTAATGTAAGCCCATGATCTCTTAATTTTATATGTTATAAATGTGTTCCAAAGATACTACATGTTGGAGATAGTTCGACATGAGGCTTAAATTGATAACTACTGTCTCCAAATTTGGTCATTGTTTTACATTTGATAAACTGTAATCATAGTGTTATTCCCTAACTTGTGATTTGATATAGGTCGACCGTGTCGATGACAGGGTAAAAGATTTGCTTATACAAATCCATAGTGGTGAGGTATGCAATATACTTTGCATGGCAAGCTCTTCTTTACCTCTCTTTTCATTGTTTGCATGCTGATCTTTCTATGGTTGCTGTCATGGCAATATATGCATGCATTATCAAGGAGCGCTTTGTTTTGGTGAATATACACTTGTTTGCTTGAATGCAAATTACATCAGCTGCTGTAGCCATGCAAGATGGTACCAAACTAACCGAAAAAGCTCAGTATTTTTAGTTGCATTGTCATATCCATTATAACAAATTTTACCAACTCGCTAAAACATTTTATTGTGTTCCCAACGTCGTCGATAGGCAATACTCTGTTTATGGAAATTATTATATTTGTCGTTAACTTCATTGACTTATCTTTACCTATACAACAACAAAGCCTTTTAGTCCCAAACAAGTTGGGGTAGGCTAGAGATGAAACCCAATAGAAACAGTGGCAACTTATCTTTACCTATGTTCGCAACATTTTGTATCGATGGTTATCAATGTTTTTCATTTAATTTATTGACTTTGTGACTTAATCTTGGTATTTTAGTATCTATGCTCCTTCCATTTTCAACTAATGCGCCAATGAAACTGCAGGGAGTCAGCGCGGAGGATGTTGATGCTCTCAAAAAGAGAAAGCTTATTAGTTCCCAGTAATTATCTTTTGTCTCTTTCATCTTTCTTACCATTGTTATTATTTACCATATATTTGAAGACCTCATGTTTCTTAATGACACGCTACAAGGATTTGGAAAGGCTATTCAGTGAAGAAAGGCCCCAAGTATGCTCCTAAAAGGAAAAAGGTGGCTACTGATTTGACTCGCGAAAATTTGCAGAGGTAATCATGGACTTGAGTATTTCTTTGGGTTTTGAAATGTGATATTGCACAATGAATGTGACAGTTTATAGTTATTTATTGCCCGATAAATGATTATTCCAAGTCTTACCATAGTAAATTACTGTTTATTGGTCTTCTTTACCAATATTCTTTAATATGGCTAATGATACTTCTTCTACCATCTTGTTAGATAATTAATATTATTGATTACAAGATCCTGAATATGTTCAACTGGGGCTGGAGAAAGGCTCGTATATTTTAATTTTTTTAGGGTTAAATATGCTTTGAGAGTGAGTTGTATTTTGAACGAAAAGATTCAAAGTGTGCTAATGCTTTATAAGTTCTGTTAATGATCTCAAAAAGACGGCGGCGATAGGATATTATCTTAGGTTCTTAAATGAAATATCTCTCTTTTTTTTTTTAAAAAAAAAAAGAAAGAAAAGAAAACTTTTGATGTTTAAATCTCCTGTTTTCTTTGAAGGGGTGATTGGAAGGAGATTGAGTTCAAAGAATACAACTTCCTTGCAAAGGGCCAGCCAACAGAAGGTGGCTGTCTACATCCGTTGCTCAAGGCATGGTCATAGTAATATTTCATACTTTGTTGTCATTTGGTGAATATGATGTGGCCATGTGTAGATACTTAATTTGTATCAATATGGATCGCTACTGTGCATGCATTTACTGATTGCAATTTGTTTTGATATCATGAAGGTTAGGCGCCAAATTCAGATGATATTTCTTCAAATGGGGTAAGTTGTGGCATGTTCAAGTTCAGATACATACAGATCCACATTTTTACCATCTCCACAGTTGCCCCAAATTGCTGAATTTTTTGTTCATGGCATGTAGGTTTGAAGAAATGCCTACAAACAATTTTGTTGAAAGCAGGTATATCTCTTCTTTTGATTCTTTATTGACTTTGGTACTTGTGTTTGCCCTTCTGGAGTTCATAATTGAGAGACATTGATCATGGCCGAACAACTTTATTCAGCTTATCATTTATATTTAGATGCCGGATGATATAATAATCACATGATGATTCCCAGAACAAAATGGAACGAAATAGATGTGAATTCTAAGGATATATCATGTCCTGAATCGAATTTGTGAAAGTTTGAAATGAAATAAATGTGGCTATTTAACTACGTTGTATAAACTTAGAGTGAACAATTACATATAACTGCTATGAATACTAACAGTTCTTTCTTTGTGCTTGCAGCTTCTGGAACTTTGATGCACTTTTCCAGCCACAACAGCATCCAGCTCGTGATTCACATGACACTTTCTTCTTAAAAGGTTTTTGCCGAACTTCATTCTGTAACCGTACTATTGGATGTTTGTGCTCTCATCAGTTTCCTTACATTGGTTGATATATTTCATAGAGCCTTCCTCCACAAGAAGTCTGCCTGAAGACTATGTTGAGCGAGTTAAACAAGTTCATGAATCTGGTGGTTATGGGTCAAGAGGGTAGGCCGCTGCCAATTATGAATGCATGAGTGGTGAAATCCTTCAGTTCAATTAATAGATTTTCTGCTCGTGCCAGGTATGGGTATGAATGGAAGAGAGAGGAAGCAGATAAGAATCTTCTGCGGACACACACTACTGCTGTTTCCTCCAGAATGCTTTATGCACTTGCTCAGGTTAGCTTTGTGGTCGTGGGAGCCTATTTCTCTCTGTTAGTGGTGAAAGTTCATTTAACCCTAGTTTTTGCCTCAAGTATAGGCATTGAAATTCTATTTTGTTTAAATTTGGATTAATTCAACATTTTACCCCTTTTTATTGTTGTGAAATTGTTATATCCGTTTTTCATCCTTTGTGTTTCTGCATCTCCTCCACTTATTTTACCTCCGTATATTGTGGTTTTATGCCTTTTTCCCCCCTTCTTTTTTTCTTAGTCTACCTGTAAACGAGCCGAGCCGAGCCGAGCCCGAGCTTAGGATGCTCGAGCTTGAGCTCGAGCCCTCAACGAGCAAGCCAAGCTAAGCTCGTTAAATAAACGAGCTAGAAATCAAGCTCGAGCTCGCTCGTTTATCACTATTAATGAGCCGAGTTCGAGTCTGAACGAGCCGATCTCGAGCTTTAACAAGTGGAACTATAAAAAATTATATTAAAATTCTCTTTACGAGCCTTATCGAGCCAAGCTCGGTTCGTCAACCAAACGAGATTTATACGAGCTCGAGCTCAGTTTATAAGGCCTCGAGCTCGAGCTGAGCTCGAACGTTAATGAGTCGAGCTCGAGCCGAGCCAAGCCAAGCAATGCTCGTTTAGTTTAACAGCACTATGCAGGATACCTCAGTTGTGAACTATTTTTCTTTTTCTGCACCAGGGACCTTTCACTCCCAAAAGATACTATTCAATAGATCGTGTCTTTAGAAATGAAGCTGTAGATCGAACTCATCTTGCCGAATTCCACCAGATAGAAGGTATTTGACAATTTGTAGATAATTGTTTTACTAATAAATCTTATGTTACTGTTTTCCATGCTCACCGACTTCTATATACTTGGGTAGGGTTAATTTGTGATCGGAATCTTACTCTTGGACACTTGATAGGAGTTCTCAACGACTTCTTCTCTCGTCTAGGTAAATTTACCATCTTCCAATGGTATTTTCGAAAGTGTTTCAGTATGTCAGCTGATTTATTTCTTCATGGATTTACATTATATACTTTATTCGTCAATGCTGAAATTGTGCAATTCCATCTTTTGGTCTTCAGGAATGTCCAAAATTAAGTTCAAGCCGGCCTACAATCCTTATACTGAACCCAGCATGGAGATCTTCAGGTATTTTATTTAGCTGTTTCTCGAAGCTTTACCATTGTATTACCAGACTAACAGATTTTTTTTTTTTCCCTTCTGTTCTCCATCAGTTATCACGAAGGTTTGCAGAAATGGGTCGAAGTTGGAAACTCAGGAATGTTCCGACCAGAAATGTTGCTTCCCATGGGGCTTCCAGAAGATGTTCAGGTCATAGCATGGGGGCTTTCACTTGAAAGGTAATCAGGTTCAGTCTAATTGTTTGCAAGCCCCTCTTGATATATCAGCCTGTGTTTGTTTTTCAAATATTCTCTTACAAGTTGAGAGCCTATCCATATATAGAAGCAAATTGCAATGGATTATTCGCAACTTTCAGGGGGCGTTAGTTTACAAAAATTTTCAATCCGTACTCAAAATCTAACCCAACATTTTTTTCAATATCATTAATAAATAAAATAATACTAATCAATCATTCATTCACATCACATCAATTTTAATTCACTATTCATCCACTCACATAATTTTAACTATCACTTCACATAATTTCTCTTTCGCATTTACATCAAATCAACTTTAATTATTTTATTTCAAATATTATTTTAATATAAACTCAAAATCTCACTCACAGCTATCCATACCACATTTTTTTCAAATTAACTCAGGTTATTAAAACAAATCCACTTTTAGCTAAATGTTTCTCATTCATTTCTTTTTCCATTTTCATTACCAGGCCGACTATGATTCTTTACGGGATTGATAACATCAGAGATCTCTTTGGTCACAAGGTAAAATTTCGACTTGTGCATCGCAAACCATTGAGTTTTTTCTTTTCCGACATACTTCATTCATTTTGCACGGTTTTGTGCCATGATTTTTTTTTTGGCAGGTTGATCTCAGTCTCATCAAAAGGAATCCGATTTGCCGCCTTGGTCTTTAGCTAGTGATGCTAAATGGCTGTTTTTTTAGTAGCTCTTAACATCTATTCGTCATTTATTTTTAAACTGCTTTGAGCATTATGGAAAATAGTCGAAAGTATTGCCAGATTTTGATTATTTTTTGGGATTTATGACGGGATTTAAATTCGAACTACAAACTTTGCTGCTCGAAAACCGAATAAATGGGAAATCGGCTTCTAAATTATTGAAAGGTGAATAGAAATTTATAGCTAGAAAGAACGCAAACTTAGTCCAACTTTAGTTTATGACTGAAAAACTAGGGACATTTCTAAGTTATTATTTGTACTATTAGCCGTCGGTCAATCTATCAATCTACAAGCCGTTAAAATCTCTCTAAGTGGGGTTGTCAGGGGTTGACAATTGTACTATGAGTCAAAACTTAATAAATTTCTAACCGAACAAGAATCAGAAATTAAAATTGTACAAATTGTATGATCTTTTATGCACTAGTCTGCTCTTGAAATAATAATTTGGATATTGTTCTACTTGGGTTTTGATTCATTTTATTTTAATGAATGTATATTATTATCTTTTACAAGTCGTTACAAAAGTATTGCTTCATCTTTATACAAGCAATTGGACAAATTTAACTAATTTTATTTAACAAAATCAAATCAAATTCAATTCAAATTTGGAACCGTGGACATTTCAAAATCCATCATGTGAGTGTGTGAGAGAAAATGAACTTTTCCAGCTCAATGAGAACGTCCAAAGGGGAAAAATGGCAACATCGGAGTTTCGAGCCATCAGATCACACATACAAATAAACACACATGTACATTCATATAAGTGTGCATTGATTTCATGGTTGAGAACCGATATGGACAGCGGCCTGCAAATGAGCCGAGTCGAGCATTGTTCTTATTGGGCAAGATTGATTTTATTTTTTTACCTGTTAGACCTCGATTTATGACGCTCGAGATCGATTCAACAAAAGAAAACAATCGCTCGTGATCGACTCAACAAAACAAGGCAATCGCTCGAGCTTGGCTCGAGATCGATTAAAATCAAAATGCTCGACAAATTGCTCGAGCTCGGCTCGAGTTTGACTCAAATTTCAAGTAAAATTACCATTAAGTGCATATATAAAATATTGAAATATTTTTGTATAAGGGGTATTTAGTAAGTCACTACATATCTCTAGTCGCTCGCAAGCGGCTTGCCTTTCCAAAACCTATGCTCGAAATCAAATCGATAACATGCTCTAGCCGCTCGAGTTCGATTCGAGTTCGGTTAAACTCGAGCTTAAGCCAATCATTGACTCGAGCCGCTCGATTTATTTGCAGCTCTAGACAACGGCCACACTTGAGGTACAAAAGTGAAATTGTGTGGTAATCTCGATATACTTGGCCCGCACCTATCACAATTACATATGTATTTTTCTTAAGCAATAATGTTTTCATGATAAAATATTTTTTTTTCATGATAATTTCAAATATTTGGAAGTTTGATCTAAAATTATATAATTCTTAATTCAAAAATGTGAATTCATGTCGAATTAACCTTTATAATGAATATTGACAATGACTAGAGATTTCATGTTGCCCAACTAATACCTTATTTATTTGGTTATATGCGAAATGCTCTCTTAACTGAAACAATCTGGTCCCATGGTCTAGTGGTCAGGACATTGGACTCTGAATCCAGTAACCCGAGTTCAAATCTCGGTGGGACCTTTTTTTAGCATTTTTGTTCTTTTTTCTTTTCCCTCTCATTTTTCCTTTTTCTTTTAGCATTTTTCAAAATAAACTTTGCGAATCCATTTCCTTTCGCATCATCTGTTATACTGCAGATAACCAAATGACAAACAATCTTTGAATGTAATAAATGCTTGTATTAAGCTTCTCACGTTTCTCTCGTGTATGCTATAATTACTACTGCGTGTCTCGTGCTTTCAGTATATATATGAGTGATTAGTGGCAGCGCGTCTTTTTTGGGATAAGACGTGTATAATCCGGTTTGTGGGGGGTAAACTTCTTCACATTGGATAGTTATCCAGTTTCAGGCAATTCATATCACACCACTTCTATTTTTCACATGGAATAGTGAGATCGACACGAAGGAAGCCATGTGCGGCAAGAGATTAGTGCGAAAGAAACTCTGTGATCGGTGTTGCTTTGTCCAAAGGAGATAGATGATGATTCTGAGAGGTGAGTAGAGTGTCAGTGTTTAAATGAAGGGCACAAGGTGTTAATTGTCTTCCACGTATGCACTAATATAGGTTGGTCAGCCTAATTCAGATCGGCAAAAAGTATGCAAAACAACAACCAATTTTCAAAACAGATTCACAAGAATCAGCACCTCGTATCAAAACCTAAACAATTATTATCGCACTGGGCTACAGCGACTGTCGATGTTTCAATTGAGGAAAAGTATTGCCTTGTGACCCGTCAAGAAAATGCACATAAACGAAAAACATCCCCCTAAGAAGTTGTTAACATGCAAATCGGTAGCTTCAAAAGGTGAAGACAAGTTACGAGTCGGGTAATATATTTCTAGTGAAATCGAAGGCAACGATAACCCAAAAATACAATTCAACTTGATTGGCATCTTCGTGAGCTTAAGAAAAAAGCTTCTGCTGCAAGACAATAAGGGTTTCATGAGCTTGTATGATAACGAGCCCGAAGATTGTGGGCTAGCTGATGCATTAGGCCAGGAAAATGCCATTGAGAACGCATGGGCCGTGGCTTTTATCGCCGAGGCCTGCCTGAACCTGGACCCAACCACACGGCCCACAATGAGGCCCGACCTTAGAGGTCTCGGAAATCCACTCGATGGACAAATTTGGAGGATAAAATGAACGAAACAAAGAGAGAAAAACAGAGCATACTGCAATTCATAACACAAACCTCACACCAACAACAATCAAGAGAAAAAATAATGAATTTCAAATAGTTACCCCAAAAAAAAATGTAGTTCTTTTTGTACTTCTTTCTTCTCCCGTCCGAAAAGGAGTGCAGTAGCAACATGACTAAATTTACAATTCACCAAAAGACCCCTAGAAAAAGATGTAAATTACAAAAAAAGAAAAAA